AGGAAGTAGCCTTTGGTCTAGATGGGTGGGGTATAAATTTAATAAATAAATTAAACTACAGTTGTGACAGCAAGGAAGGGCTCAGAAGGGGAAAGGCAACCTGGAAGACACTTTGTCTGTTTGGTCAACTGGATGGCTCAGGATTCACAGAGAGAACTATAAATATAACTCTGAGAAACAGAGACGTGGACAAGGCACTTGGTGAAGTTTCGGCTTCCCTCCCACCTCCAAACGGGTGGTGGTGGTGGTGGAGGTGTCTTTCCTTATGCGTATCAAGAGTGTTGTGCAATTTTAAATGATGGATGTATTTGAACGGGAGGCAGCGTGGAAGTACGCACAGCAGCCTCCCCCCCCCCCCCAAATACCGGAAGAGCCATGTCTCCTAAGAACGAGATTTCTGAATTAAAGGCCTCCCCCCCCAGTCTCGTAATCTGGCCAGAGCGACTTTCCTTTCGAATTATAAATCTGGGACTCCCTTTTTAATTCCAAAGATCTCGCCCCCAACAGCTCCCTCTCTTCCACCTGGCTTAAGAGCTGCTCCTAAGGATAAGCAATGCATTAGCGCTACATGTTGCATACCACCCTTTTAACGGCTCCTAGGTGGCTTTATTTGTGGAAAACGTCCCAAGGGCTTCTGCGAGCCTCAAGGAAAGGAAGTGGCGGGAGGATTTGAGCCAGCAGGACTTCCTCTCCTGACCAAAGCAGCTTCCCTTTATATAGATGTGTAGAACAGGAATGAAATACACAGAGCATCCTGGAACGTTACGCCGCCTGTTTTCAGAGAGACCAAGAAGAGGACGCTCGGTTTTCGGTTCCCAGGTGGCTGGATGCAAATCGCACCTTCTACTTAGATGTATGCACTTTCTATAAACAAATGTCTCCTGAGTTGTCAAGAGGACAGGCAACGGAAACTGCGTGTGCAAGAGGATGAAAGAGGGGGCACAGGGGGAAATACACCTTTTTGGGGGGCCAGTGCCTCGCGGATACTGGGGAAAGCCGATACAACAAGCTGCTTAGGCCAGAACTCAGCAGAGCCAGCGCCCATGGAAGCAAGCAGAAGCCACGCCTCCCGGCTGCACATGCTCACCATTGCCACCTGCTAAGGACCCGTTTCGATCATCAGGTTCCACCTTCAATCCGGACGCTGGTAATGCTGGTGGAGGCATCAGCTGCCTGCTCAAAGGCAAAACCGGGGGGGGGGGGGG